CGGATAACACGAGAAGCATCTCAATATCTTCAGAGGAGAGATCTAGACCTTTAGGGAGTTTTCATTTGATTTCTCTGTTATTGGTACAGTACCTCTTACCAAAGCCTGGTATCTTCCTGCCCAAACCTTTTGTTTTACTTTCTCTGGAACACATCTCCGGAGGTAGGTGACACAGGCACCTAGCTTCCAGTGTTTGTTGTTATTGTCTTTTTTTTTTTTTTAAGTGAACACTACCCCCAATGTGGGGCTCAAATTCATGAACCTAAGATCAAGAGTCACATACTCCACCGACTAAGCAAGCCAGCCAGGCGCCCCACCTGGCTTCTTAAACAGATTTTCAACCAATCTTCCTTACTTTACCTGTTTCCTTCTACCCTCGCCTCCAGAGGAATCTGGTGCAATCAACCACCGATTGGGGGAAGTGGGTAGATTCTGTAGCATAAAAGAGGTTGGTCCCATTTTCCTGGTCTGCTAATACCTTATCACTCACCCATTGTCCATCCAGCCTCCAAAATGTTTTCATCTCTTCTTCCATTCTGTCCAACTTTATGCACTTAGGCCTCTTTTTATTATTATTATTTTTAAAGTTGTTTATTTATTTTTGAGAGGGAGAGAGGGAGAGAACGAGGAGGGGAGGGGCAGAGAGAGAGGGAGACAGAGAATCCAAAGCAGATTCTGGGCTCTGAGCTGTCAGCACAGAACTGAATATGGGGCTCGGATTCACGAACCGTGAGATCATGACCTGATCTGAAGTTGGATGCTTAACTGACTGAGCCACCCAGGCAGGGGCCCCCTGGCCTCTTTTTTTTTTTTTTTTTTTTAAGGAAAAAAAAATCCTTTTACAGTCATTTAGTGAGGTTTCAGGAAGGAAGGTAGATGGCATGTGTTCCGTCTGTTATCTTTAGACAGAAACCCCGGTATAGATTGCAACTATGATATATTTCAAAAGTTTTTGTTATGGAAAGTTTGAAATATATACAAAATACATAGAATGTTAACAACCCATCGCCACATTACCTATCACCAGTTTCAACAACTACCAATTCAAAGTCTATCTTGTTTCAATCCACATCCCTACCTATTTGCCCCACCTCCTGGATTATTTTGAGGCAAATCCCAGGCATTATATCATTTCATCTGTAAATCAGTGATGGATTTGAAGTGTTTGCATAACTACCTCAAGTAATGAATTTCTGATTAGGGTACTTCAAATGCTAACTAATCCCTCCCCTAGAGAGTGGGTTCCTAATTAGGGTACTTCAATGTGCACAGCCTCTAGGGTGTAGATTAAAGTTCATTTATACACCCATACATCACACACTGTTAATACTAAAGTATTGTAAAATAAATCATTATACAGACAATTCGATGCAGTGAAACTCAGAGGTCTAGGAGAATTAATGTGTTTTGTTGGCCAACTAGACAAAACACGCAGAGCTGACAGGTGCATTTTGCCCTTGGGAGAAGAAGAGAAGAGAAATACAGTAAAACCTTGGGTTGCGTAAAATGTATGCAATAAAATGCATATATCTATTATAATTTATATATACATAAATGTATGTATGTATATATACACACAAACATGGGTGTATGCGTACATATATGTATGCATACATGCACATATATGCATATGTGTATATATACACATTTATTTATTTATTTATTTATTTATTTATACATAAATTTATTGCATAAATGCATAGAGTTGGGTTGTGTAAAGTGTGGGAACAAGGCTGTGGCAGTGCAAGTGATGAATCTGTTTAACGACAGACAATGCGATTTCACATGTCCACGAAATCCTCAAGAGGAGGCAAAAGCAAGTGTGACTGGGTAGGTTCCCTGTTATAGTTGCACAAAAAGAAAAAGATTCCATTGAGCCAATAGATCGGAGTGATTCTGTTACTGATAGTGAAAGTCATCTACACAATAACCTTCCTCTCTCTCGTCTCCCTCACACCAGCCATGAAGGTTTTCAAAGGCAAGGGTGGGTTTAATTTATCTTTCTTTATATTTTGTATTTTCTTTATTATTTAGTATCATATTGCAGTAGTGTAATCATTTTTATAGGAGTATTTTGGGTTGTGAAATGAACATCTGAGTTTCCATTATTTCTATGGAGAGATTCGCGTTGATACACAAGTGCTTTGGATTACAGGCATGTTTCCCGAATGAATTATACTTGCAAACCAAGGTTTTACTGTATTAGGAAAAAGAGGTAATTGGCAAAGAAAGATGGAGAACTTGAGATAATGTTGGGCACACCACAAGAAATAAAGACAATCGTTACTACAGGAATAGGGCTCAGAGAGGGTCAGCCTGGCTATTTATATTTAATAATTGTTCTTATGGAAGTAAGAATTGAAAACCTTAGAGCAAGGGATTTGTCCAACTAAAGACAGTAGAAAGAGACCAGAATGTACCGAGTTGGGGGATGGGGAGAGTAAAAGTGGTACCTATTTGACAGGAAGGGAGTTGGGTTATGATACTTGCAATTTCCATTACGATACTTTATCATGGAGAGTGTAGTATAAATTTTGTATAAGCTATGCCCTCAGAGTAGGGTTTTTTTTTTTTCTAAAATTTTTTTTTTAACATTTATTTTATTTTTGAGACAGGGGGAGACAGCATGAACGGGGGAGGGTCAGAGAGAGAGGGAGACACAGAATCTGAAACAGGCTCCAGGCTCTGAGCTGTCAGCACAGAGCCCGACGCGGGGCTCGAACTCACGGACCGCGAGATCGTGACCTGAGCCAAAGTCGGCCGCTCAACCAACTGAGCCGCCCAGGCGCCCCCCCTCAGAGTAGGGTCCTTAATCACTTGTACCATGGACCTTTTCTTTAGACTTCCTCTCAGAATAATGTTTTAAAATGCATACACTAAAATATATAGGATTATAAAAGAGCTAATTATGTGGAAATATAGTTATCAAAATATTTTTGAAATGTAATATAATAATAAGAGTTCTTACTTTATTGACACATTAAATAATAAGATCTAGTGGCGGGTCTAATAATGACTGTAATTTTCAAATAGCAATGAGCATAAATTATATTTTGAGATATCTGCAACAACATTCTAATGGGATATGAAAATAGCTGTGACTTCTGTGGGTGGCAAAGTCATAGTACTACTATTAAGCCTGTGTTGGGGGGCACCTGGCTGGCTCAATTAAATGTCTGACTACAGCTCAGGTCATGATCTCGTGGTTCATGAGTTCAAGCCCCACATCAGGCTCCAGGCCGTGGAGCCTGCTTCGGATTCTGTGTCTCCCTCTCTCTCTCTCTCTCTGCCCCTCCTCTGCTCTTCCTCTCTTTCTCTCTCAGAAAATGAATAAAACACTAAAAATTTTTTTAAAAACAGACTGTGTTGGGATGTACACATTAATAAATGAAGGAAATGCTAATTTTCTGTTAGAGGTAAGTGGAAATAAGGATATTTTTTCCTCTCTAAGTTCACAGACACTCCCCCACCCTGAACTCTTTCGCAGACACACCTCCTCTCTTAAAAAGACCCTGACCTCAGGTTGAGACCCTACGTTCCAACGACAGACAGTTGAATATAGCTGAGCCTTGAACAACTTGGGGGTTAGGGGCACCAACCCGGTATATGTATATGAAAATCCACATATAACTTTTGACTTCCTCAAACTTAGGGGCACCTGGGTGGGTTAAGTGTCAGACTCTTGATTTCAGCTCAGGTCACGATCTTACGGTGTGTGAGTTCGAGCCCTACATCGAGCTCTGTGCTGACAGCACGGCCGCTGCTTGGGGTTCTCTCTCTCTCCCTCTCTCTGCCCCTCCCCGGCTCTCTCTGTCTGTCTCTCTCAAAATGAATAAATAAACATTAGAAATATTTTTTTTTAATTTTTTTTTTCAACGTTTATTTATTTTTGGGACAGAGAGAGACAGAGGATGAACGGGGGAGGGGCAGAGAGAGAGGGAGACACAGAATCGGAAACAGGCTCCAGGCTCCGAGCCATCAGCCCAGAGCCCGACGCGGGGCTGGAACTCACGGACCGCGAGATCGTGACCTGGCTGAAGTCGGACGCTTAACCGACTGCGCCACCCAGGCGCCCCTAGAAATATTTTTTAAAAACATACTAATTGCCTACTGCTGAGCCAAGCCTCACTGATGACGTAAACAGTTGATTAACACATATTTTGTATGTTATCTATATAGTACATGTTCTTACAATGAATTAAGCTAGAGAAAGGAAAATGTGATTAAGAAAATCATAAAGGAAGGAAAAAGGGGGAGGCACCTGGCTGGCCCACTGAGTGGAGCAGGGGACACTTGACCTCAGGGTTGTGAGCTCCAGCTTCACGTTGGTCAGAAAGCTTACCAAAAAAAGAAAAAAAAAAAAAAAAAGATGAAAGGAAAAGACACTCATAAGGAGGAGAAAAATACATTTACAAAAGTGCACTACATTTATTGAAAAATTCCACGTAGAAGTGGACCCCGCAGCTCAAACCTGTGTTATTTAAAGGTCAAATGTATTTAATTCAATAGCTGTTTATTCAACACCAGTCTGTGCTAAACATGAAGAAGAAAAGAGCTTCGAGGTGGGGCGCCTGGGTGGCTCAGTCGGTTAAGCAGCCTACTCTTTTTTTTTTGTTTTGTTTTAGTGTTTATTTTAGAGAGAGACAGAGTACCAGTGGGGGAGGGACAGAGTGGGGGAGGGGCAGAGAGAGAGAGGGAGACACAGAATCCGAAGCAGGCTCCAGGCTCCGAGCTGTCAGCACAGAGCCCGACGTGGGGCTCGAACGCACAAGCTGTGAGATCATGACCTGAGCCGAAGTCGGACGCCTAACTGACTGAGCCACCCAGGCACCCCTGCAGTCCCTTCTTAAGCCGCTCCCCTATCACTCCATCTTAATCTTTGTGTCTTGGAAAAAACCTTCTTTCCTACCCTTTGTTTTACAGCTTCTTCTTGAATGTCCTCTCCTCACTTCCGACACATACACACACATACACTTCACAAGGTCTATTGCTAGTTCGTCTTTTTTTTTTTTAAGATATTTGTAAGTAATCTCTACACCCAACATGAGGCCTGAACTTACAACCCTGAAGTCAAGACTCACACACTCTACCAACGGAGCCAGTCAGGTGTACCCTATTAAGTTTTTAGTTCACAACTTACTTTTGTTCACAACTTACTTCACAACAACTTTTAGTTCACAACAGGCTTCTAGGAAGTCTTCCACAACTCTCCCCAGCTGCACAGTACAGTAAGTGCAAAGTATTTAACCAGCCCTCTTTCGTTTTTAAAAGATCTTTTTAAAGTAATCTCTAGACTTAACATGGGGGCTTGAATTCACAACCCCAAGATCAAGAGTCCCATGCTCCACTGACTGAGCCAGCCAGGTGCCCAGAACCAGCCCTCCCTTGATGACATTTTAAGTGGTCTCTCCAGTTTTTCATCAATCCCAGCAATGCAGACACACACACACACACACACACACACACACACACACACACACCCCATGTCTTTTTATACTTGTACTAACATCTCTGATAGATCCATTTCTAGATGTGAAACTGCTAAGACAAATGTACGTTTCACATTTCAATCAACACTACCCGTTGTTCTCAAGAAGGTGCCATAGAGGACCTGCTTTCTCACACTCTTAACAATACTGGATATTACCAATCTTTTCAATATTTGTTAATATTTTCGTAATATGGCAATAACCACATTGCTAACTTTGCATATCTTTGATTATTGATGAGATTGAACATTTTACCATCTCTTATTTAAAATGTAAGATGTGGGGCACTTGGCTGGCCCAGTTGATTACAGGTCCAACCCTTGATTTTGGCTCTGGTCATGATCTCATGGTTTGTGAGTTCAAGCCCTGCATTGGCCTCTGTGCTGGCAGCTTGGAGCCTGCTTCAGATTCTGTCTCTCCCTCTCTCTCTGCCCCACCCCCACTTATTCTCTCTCTCTCTCTCTCTCTCTCTCTCTCTCTCTCAATAAATAAATAAATAAATAAATAAATAAATAAATAAATAAAATGTAAGATGTGATTACTTTGTCATTATAGATAGAAGGCTATGCTACTGAGAGGAGAAGAAAATTAATCTTTCTACTAAAGAATAAAGGAGATGGGGGTGCCTGGGTGGCTCAGTAGGTTAAGTGTCTTTGACTCAGGTCATGATCTCACAGTTTGTGGGTTTGAGTCCCACATCAGGTTTTGCACTGGTTCAGAGCCTTTTTGGGATTCTTGCTCTTTCCTGTCTCTCTGCCCCTGCCCCACTTGCATTTTCTCTCTCTCTCTCCCAAAATAAATAAATATACTTAAAAAAAAAAAAGAATAAAGAAGATGGGGCACCTGGGTGGCTCAGTCAGTTGAGCCCCTGACTCCTGATTTCGGCTCAGCTCATGATCTGGGGGTTGTGGGATTGAGCTCCGAGTCGGGCTCTGTGCTGACAGTGTGGAGCCTGCTTGGGATTCTCTCTCTTCTCTCTCTCTCTCTCTCTCTCCCTCCGCCCCTGCCCCCCACTCGCACTCTCTCTCTCTCTCTCTCTCTCTTTCTCAAGAAAGAAAAAAAGAAAGAAAGAAAAAAGAAAGAAAGAAAGAAAGAAAGAAAGAAAGAAAGAAAGAAAGAAAGAAAAGGAGCATTTTAGGAAGGAAAAGCACTTTCCCAACTTTGATACAAACGGCATTCATGCCCAAAGCACCTCTTGGAGCAAGCAGAACATTTTAAACCACATTAAAGCTAACCCATATATATTTGGCCACTCTGCTTCGGAATTATTACTGAAGAGACTGCAAGATCCTATAATTGGTAAATTTTCTGATATGTAAGCTTTACGATCATCAAAGAATAAGCTTCCACCCGGTGTGCACATCTTGGGTTCTAAATTTTATTCTCCAGTAAGAGAAACCAGGGTTTCTGAAAGAAACGATTGATTCTGGGCTAGGGCAGGGACAGGATGAGCCTGGAGCATCTTACGGTACCAGACAACAAGGAAATACTTTAAAAGGATGGGAACATGTCAAAAGGACAACAAGAGCCAACCCGAGAAAACTTCCAAAGGCTAAAGGAAGAACAACTTGAGAAACAAATAAATAATAATGGTGTTAATACTTTGGTTTCTCTTCAGATCAAATAAATCTTTTGCCTTTTACTAAAAAAATAAGAAGTAAATAATAATAGTGTTAGATTATAAGCCATAAAAGAAAACAAATATCCCTAGGTCCATCCTGATGTAAATAATTGAATACATGAACGCGAGAGAGAAGGCCAACTCATCTCTCAGAAGAACTGTAACTACTAAATGTAGAAGGAATGAGGAAAATACAGAATCCCCATTAGACCATCTTGCTTCAGGCTAGACCTCAGATGGCTGTTACAATCAACAGGCAAGAGTTTGCGGAGATAGGATGTTAGCAGTCTCAAAGCACCTCTCCAAGATAGTTATGACAAAGAGAAAAATCGTAACGTTACAGTTGGCAAACTGGTCAGATCCTACCTTAACCAAGTGATCAAACTTCACTAGTAGTAAGTCATGTTGACATCGTGTACCCCTAATATGAAGTAACGAGAAGAGTACTTCACCTCTGATATGTTTTTCCTCCGAGCCTGTAACCTCACTCTAACCATGAGAAAAACATTGGACAAACTCAAATTGAAGGATATTCTAAAAATGGCTGACAAGTACTCCTCAAAAGAGTCCATGAGAGACAAGCAAAGACTGAGAAACCAGCACAGATTGGAGAAGACTAAGAAGACGCAGGAACTAAATGCAACATGGGATCTTGGGTTCTAGGCTGGAACACGAAAAGGACATCGGGGGGGGGGGGGATGGTGAAACTCAAAGACAGTCTGTCGCTTAATTGATAGTATTGATCCATGTCCATTTTCTGATTTTGATCGTGAATTATGGTTATATAAAATTTTGACACTGGGAGGAAGCTGGATGAAGATGTATGTAAACTCTCTATTACTTTAGCAACTTTTCTGTTGGTCTAAAATTATTTTAGAAAAAAATAAAAATAAAAATATTAGTTACAAATAAGAATAAGCCTCATCTGAAGAGTACTTTTCATAGTGCACATTAAAAAAACACATGCTCCTGGGGCACCTGGGTTGGTTCAGTTGGTTCAGCGTCTGACTCTTGATTTTGGCTCAGGTCATGATCTCACGATTCATGAGTTCGAGCCTTCCATCTGGCTCTGCACTGACAGAATGGAGTCTGCTTGAGATTCTTTCTCTCTCAGCCCCTCCCCCACTCTCTCATCGCATGCTCTCTCTCTCAAAAATAAATAAACATCAAAAAAAAAATCTTATTAAAAAAAATGCCACATCCTCCTGATCATGGCTGTGCGGAGGATTTGAATCTTATTCAGAATTTCCCCTAGTACTGGAATGCTCTTTATCTAAACTATGTGCTTTCAAAAAATGCTGAAATGTCTTTTTAAATTTTAATTTTTTCTTTTTTTTTTAAGTTTATTTATTTTGAGACAGAGAGAGAGTGCACGCACAGGGAAGGGGCAAAGAGAGAGGGAGAGAGAAAATCCCAAGCAGGCTCCGCACTGTCAGCGTGAGGCCAGATGCGGGGCTCGAATCCACAAACCGTGAGATCATGACCTAAGCGGAAATCAAGAGTCAGAGGCTTTTTTAAAAAATTAAAAAAAATTTTTTTTGATGTTTATTTTTGAGAGACAGAGTGTGAGGAAGGGAGGGGCAGAGAGTGGGAGACACCAAAACCGAAGCAGGCTCCAGGCTCTGAGCTGTCAGCACAGAGCCCAACATGGGGCTGGAACTCATGAACCAGGATCATGACCTGAGCTGAAGTTGGCCGCTTAACCACTGAGCCATCCAGGCGCCCTAAGAGTCAGAAGCTTTAACCGACTGAGCCACCCAGGCACCCCTCTTCTGTCATCTTCTGAGTTTATTGAGTCCCTGTTGTTCATTCAGAAAATAACTCTTACCAACTTGAACTAATGTATGACAGAGAGGACACGTCCCTGATCTGGGATCTGAGGCTCTTGTTTCCACTCTGCCATAAATGAACAGCAAAATCACTGGCAAGTTACTCCCTCTGGGCCTCAATTTCCCACACCTATCCAGTGGGAGAATTAGAAGATATTTGTCTTTCTCAACTTGAGAATCCGTGCTTTGTTCTTCATAATTCCCGACTTGGCTTGGGCCTTCCCCTTCGAGTGAGGCTAACAAACTTTGGCCTAGAAGTCACTTGCCAAAATATAAATGCCAGATTGTGGCTCAGTATGTCAACACATTAACCAAAATCTATTTATGTGGTGGAGGTAATCAGAGCTGTAATCTGTAATAGCTCAGAAAGTTTAATAAAGAGCTCTCTTTGAAAGATCTTAATCTCATTGAAATCTCTTGATGTGACACAGTAATGAATAGCAATGAGCTACTTTCACATGGTGAAATTCGACCCATTCAAATCAGAAAGTTCATTTTCGGACATTGCAGACTCCCTTCCTATGTAAGCGTTATCAGCAGTCAGAAGTATGGCACACCAGCTCCTTTCTTTTCTCTTCGTTCCCTGATCCCTGTTGGCGACGGTATAGGGGATAGAGACAGACTCCAAGTCAGAAAAACCAGTGGCCTAAGTCACCAATCTCTGGATTATCACAAAGTGACTAGTCTAGGAGAACAATTTTCCATGTGCCCATAACGACACTGGAAAAGTTACTTCCCTTTCCACTTGCTGTTTCTCACTTACCAGCCCATTTTTAAAATTCTTTTTTCATTGTGGCCACTGTGGCATCTGTTCCACTGAGCTTTCTGGCTTTAATATTTCCCCCCCCTCAATCTGTCCCAAAAAGCCCTACCAATTAGCCTCCAGGAACTCTTTGATTGCACTGTTATGTCCACTCTTTAAACTCTTTAATGATTTTTCGTCTAAACATTAACTACCATTCCAAAGTTCCTATGTTTGCCGTCATCCCATTGGTACATCTCACTAAACCCTAATGAAGAAATTCCTATTCCCTTTACTCCAGATTATCCATGTAATTGTTCCTAAAATCTACTCCTAAGGGGTACTGGAAAAATACTTGCGTTTTGGAGTTGCTATCTAAGATTTAAATCCTGACTGCATCATTTATTGGCAACCTTGGAAATTTTATTAAATTCCTGCAAATGGGAGTAATACCTACCTCAGAAGATGTTCCAAAAATTCAGTGAGATAATATATGTGAGGGACATCGCACCAGGCCAGTCAGTTGAGAAGGACCCTTCTCTTATGATGGTAGCCGGGACACTAACCATGATAATGAGGATGGTAATTACCCAGAGACTCGTATGAACAGAGCAATCCCCTCTACTGACCTCAGTCACCAGACCATACCCCTTCCCCTTTCCTGCACCTTTAGCTAACATGTGCTCTTTTCCTGGGATGTTATGTGGTCCTCTGTGGCTTGAGAACAGAGCATTCCTCCTTCAAATGTTTGGAGTATCTTTTTATAATTGGATTTCATTTTATGCATCCTATTTTATTGTTTTTATTTTATTGCTTTTAATTTTTTAAAGATTTATTTATTTATTTATTTAGAGTGAGCATGAGCAGGAGTGGGACAGAGACAGAAGGATAAAGAGAATCCCAAGCAGGCTCTGCACTATCAGTTCACGAACTGCGAGATCATGACCTGAGCCGAAGTCACGAGTCACATGTTTAACTGACCGAGCCACCCAGGCTATTTTTTTTTTTTTTTATTTTACAGAGGGAGAGTAAGCATGAACTGGGGAGGCACAGAGAGAGAGGGAGACAGAAGACCCGAAGCAGGCTCTGGGCTCTACCCACTGAGTCAGCC